CCTTGAGCCCTTGCCTACTGAGCCATGCCCCTCTCTTTGTTAAAGCCTGGCTTCGGGGCCACCCTGGTGGCGCACTCGATAGAGTGAGGCGCTTGGGAGCGCAGCATGCTCCCGCTGAGGGTTCGGATCCCATATAGAGACCGGTCTGCTCACTGGTTGAGCGTGGTGTGGGCACGACACCGAGGGTTGCGATCCTGTTACCGGTCATGAAAAAAGACAAAAAAAGGAAAAAAAAAAAAAAAAAAAAAAAAAAAAAAAAAAAAAAAAAAAAAGCCTGGCTTCAGACTTTTCTGCTTCAGTGAAGGTTTCCTCACCAGTGGGGTGAGGATGGCTTTCTTATGCATATTCTTCTATTTCTATTACTTTTTGGATATGCAAGTCATGTCTCCTTAGCTGCTCTGTACCCCCCAGGAAAGGGACTGTGTTCTTGCAGCAAGTCAATGAATAGTGCCCTTTACTTGTTCATTATGATTTGGTTTTTAATTGTAAATGCTCTAAACACAAGATTGGCATAATATGTGTATAAGATAAATAACATTTCTTTTAGAATTAGAAATTGTAAATATGCTCTTTAATACATGAGCCCTCATGACCATGAGGGGAATGACTGAGGTTAATAGTAAGTGGGAGTTGGTGGTTCCACAGCAGTTTGGGTGTGAATCTAACTGGTCTATATTGGGACTGAATCTTCATTGCAGCCACCAATGAAGAGCACCCAGTGCCACATATAGTCTCTGCAGCATAAAACTGCACACTTGCTCTTTTTGAGATCTGTTGAGTTGTGAACATTTTGTTATCTATAACAAATTATTCAACTTTATCCTTCATCTTGTTAAATTTTTGCAATCCTGCACCACCATTATTTGGCCTCTTGAAGATATTAACAAGGAGAGAGAGTTAGATGTGCTACGATGAGTGTCTTCCTAAACAAGTTCTGGTATGATTATGTTCATGAGTGGAAGTCTAACTCACAAACTATGATGTGTCCCACTAATCCCAATAGCCTATGGTTCTTACTCCTGTAACCATACAACATCCCTCCAGTGATAAGATATAGGCAGAAGCAGGGGACTGTGGATAGGTTTTATGATAATTTTTATTGTACCACTTAGTAAAGCTAAGGCTGCTGGCCAGCCATTGGGAGGGAAGAGGATGGGTCATAACGCTAGAGGCACTGTGCAGATGGGATACTTGGACGCTATAAAACATAACTGGCACTTGTTTGGGTCCTAGCCCAGGTTCATAGTTACCACTGTAATGCTAAGGTTGCTGGTGAACAGACTGTAAAATCCTATCATCTGATTCATTCAAAGTTGACTCAATGATTCATTTCTGTCAGCTGCTCAGACTTTGGTGACATTGGCCTTGGATGGCAAGGAGGAGTATACTGATGTTATAGAGAAAGTACAGACTCCCTTGGGAGGAATGGCGGGGTGGGGAGAGTGTGTGTGTGTGGTGGGAGGGGAAGGGGAAGGATCCTTCACACAGCACTGGGGAGGATTCCAAATGATGTCTGTTTTCAAGGGAAGTCAAATGATTTAATTTCATGACAGGAATTCCACAGTACATAGTAGAATGACTCAGCAGATACAAGCTTATGGTTTCATCCATTTTCTCAAAGATTGGTTTTACTGATTTTTGGAATTTTGATTCTGGGACTGATTCTGCTAAATAGCCTTGCTTGATCTAAACTCCTCATTTGAAACTTTTTATACTGTTCATATATGTGCTGCCCAAACTTCACAGTATGCTTCAAAGCTACCTTCCTTTATCTGTCTCCAAATCCAGGAAAACATTACAAATATCTAGTCAACAATTTTATTTTTAAAGGAGATATTTCAAAATATAAAAGTTATCAAAAAGCTGAATATTTACAATTATGTCATAGCTTACTATTAACAGTGCAAAGCATACAATATGTAAGGTTTTAAAGAGGAAATATACAAAGTGTAATAAACAGCAAGGTTATATGTCACTGTTCCACCATTCCACAGAAGTTGAAAGTGCTGACCTGGGGAGGTCACCTTTGTTTCAATTTTTGGTATCCAGGAATGACCATCTCTTAAATCCACCAGGGCTGGAAACCCCCTCTGGAAAAATGCTATTTTCTCAGGAATATTATCTAAAAAGGACAAAACACATACTATTAGAAGGGTTTCAAGTAATTATTGGCATTTAGTAACAAAGTCAAGCATATGAAGGAATTTTTTGATCATTTCTGGAATGTGGAGAAGGAATACTATTCAAGTTAGAAATCTCCAGTCTTTAATCACTATTGAGTTTCAGTACCGGTCTTGCAACTGACTAAAATTGTGTGGGCAAGTTGTTGAGTCTTTATTATAAAGTGAGGATGATGATAATAGCCACC